GGGTAGAAAAAAATATTATATGTATTTTTTACATATTAGTAGACTAAAAAAAATTGATTAAATAAGCCCTTGAAACCCCTAAATTGTCGAAATTCCGAACCTTTTAATCAGAGCTCGACCACACCCACTTTGCTTTCGTCGGGGAAATCTGACACCTCGTCGGGGGAACCCCCTCCCACCGTCGGGGGAACCCCCTCCCACCGTCGGGCAAATCCTGGCGCAACCCCTGGCCCGTAGCAGCAGCACAAGAGAAAACTAAGCTAAGCCACAGCCTGCTCGCCTTGCTAAATTCACATTGGTCACACAGTGTAGTGCTAGACGGCATAATTATACATGACGTCACCATATACATACCACGGCCCCTCGGCTGAACCCGTTGTATTTAGCAACTACCCTTTAAGTTAATAATTGGGTTAATAATTGCTACCTCATGACATTTGTCTACGCCCCCGTTGGGGGCAGTAGACACAAAAACCGGCTTCTTCAGATAAACCGGTAGAGTGTGATCACTGAAATTAACCGACGATACGACTTGGCGATCATGGAAAGTTACTTTTAGTTAGTTAAATTAATTCCGGCGAATTCCTCGACAGCGGGTCCAAGCGGGGGTCCAGAGGTCCTCCATTGGGTCCTTTTCCTCAGATCCCCGCTAGTGCCCCGCCCTGATTGAATAGACGTGGGGTCGAAGAAAACTAAATAAATGGTAGAAGTAGGCGAAAGGTATTGCTTTCCCAATCACCATTGTTATATCATCATATGTTATTATCGTACACTAAATATTAAAATATAGATATATAGCAAGTTAATAACTATAGGCCTACACAATACACAAATTAAGCAATTTAAACATAGAATTGAATTTCTCAATCATTTTAAGTTCATGAAAGACAATATTTTGAAGGCAATTGCAGACAAAACCTCATCATCTTCCTTCATGTGGTTAATAACGGCGGCGTAGGATGAACGAAAACAACAACACTGCAGAGAAACCGACTGCTGCTGCGTACACGTAAGTATGGCTCGTAGTAGGTCGATTTCCCTCAAGAAATTGTTGAATTTCATCGACAGTGTAGACACGTCTGCAAAGTGGGCAGCTGTCGTGTGATTCATACCATTCCATCAAGCAATCTCTGTGTATGTCGTTTTTGCATTCTCGACATTTCAGACATGGTCCTTCTTCCAATGGTTCTAGGCAAATGCAACAGTCCCGACAACGCTTCATGATGATCTGAAATAAATGGCAATTATGACAAAGTATTATACAAATTTAGTTGCGAAAAAATGACATGATGTGAGCGAATCAGTTGCCACTTCTAGGAGTATCGAAATGGGTGGGGACTAATGGGGGACGCAAAGGTGAAATGGGAGGGCTCAATGATTTGATGTTTTAATTTTTAAACTACTTTTGTTAAGCGTAATTTTTGTATATCGAAATATTTCCAAATATTACACTTACAACCAGAATTCAGGGGCTATGTAAATTATGCAACTGTAATCTTAGAAAAACAATTCATCACTTCATTTTATTTTAATAGCCTACAAGATATTAGAGATAATGTATTTTAGAAATTAAAAGATGATATTGTTTCTAAGGTCCCAAAACACGATGTGTAAAAGCATACTGACACGTGCGTTTGTGGGACAGCACTGTGTTCCTGGGGACATGCGCGTGTTCCTGACCTTGTTCTGATTGGTCGGTTTTGGACACTCTGGAAAGGTCCACTGATTCTGTTGATTTCTGTGTTGGTTGTCAAATATTAATTTATCGAAAATATGTAGACTGAATGGATGCACGAGTATGAAAGTCATTTAAACCCATTCTATTTTTTAAATAGCCTACAAGATATTTATTGGATAAACATTGTAACATTCATTAAAAATACAATAAACTTTAAAATTCATTATAAAATTACAAGGTGATTGCAGTTTGATTTGGTTATATGAGGTTATTGTTGTGACGTGGGTTGGAACGTGTGCGCGATCACCTGCCTGATTGTTCAAATGCTTTGTTTTCCATTGTGCGAGGGTTAGTCCTCGCTGATATGTCGAACTGTTTGCAACGGAGCTGTGTGTCTACAGTGCAATTATAAATAAAGGAATACTGTACGTCTTCTTGTACCGGTATAACTTGTGTAGCCTGGTCATTTTGATGTTAAACACAACATATGGTGGAAGACCCGGGCATCAATGTTTTTATATTGATTTCAGATGTGGTACATGACTACTAGTGTACATGTTAATGGTATTACCATTACGTTGCGTTTGATTGAATGTAATTCGGGATTGGCGGGTAACTGGAATGAGGAATATTGCATTGTTGAATATTATGCCGATGGTCTTGTTGAGTTGAGTATAGCCGTTGGTCAGAGACCACTGTGTTGATTTATGACTGTTGTTGTGGATCCTGGATGGGACACCGCTTTGAGGATGATCCTGTCTGGATTAGTGAATTGGGATTGCTGTGTGGAACAGAAACTGTACGCATTTTTTTGGATTTAAGACCGTTATGTGGATTCGAGATTGCTGGACGACATGGAATTTACTTAGTAAAGACTGGAAGCTGGCAGATCTTTGGGTTGTATGATTGTGTAGATATTGTTTTGAAATTTAATTTATTTGTAATTGTATAGTATTTTACAATTCTTAAAATCATCTAGTTTTGATTTGTTTATTTTGTTAACGTTTTTTATGTATATTGTTATTGCTACAATTGTATATTTTAATATTACTTGTCATACAGTATTGATGATTTGAACTTCAGGTTTGATGTGGTGCATGTACAAGAACGTAATAATAGTACCGATGCTCTTATGTAGTTGAATGAATATTCGACGGATGACCTCCGTCGAATATTCATAAATTGTGGGGGAAATTCAATTAATTCTTTGGGACTTTGTAATAGTAGTTGGGTACACACGTGTCTATAATGTAGATAGTGACTGTTTTTGTTCACATTTCCTGTACCTTCAGATGTCGCTTTAGAGAAACGCCATTATAATACCCCAACCTTTCCTAGTAAAATAAATCTGTTGACGTAGGCCCTATTTAGTGAAGGGTGATTTGCCTTCGGACAATAGTAAGGCTAGGATGCATTAGGATAAGTTTGACCGTCGCGAATTCATTTAATTTAAACGTTCGATTTTCAGCTGTTTTCGCTATTTTTTCGCACATTTCTCTTCATAACTTTACTTCTACTTGTCCGATTTTCGCCATATCCTATTCCAAATTTAATAACAATTTTAGTAATCTTAATTTTAATCCATTAGATTGCCAAATTTCGTCGGATTTCCAATTTTGTAACCTTGGTTTTTCAAATTTTTGTGTAAAACCTGCGGTTTTAGCAGAAATGTGGTGAACCGCCCGAAGTTTTTTTTTTGTAGTAGCTCCGCTGAAATTGGGCCGATTTTCGGCATTGTTGTGGCAACATTTAGATTTATTTATTACCTACAACATATGTAAAAATTAATTTGATTGGTTAATAAATGACGTCGGACTAGGTTATGTTTGTAAGAATCAATCAGTAGCAAGTCATGATCAGTTTAAAAGCCAATGCTTTAGAATGTGGCGAACGAGTATTCGACCGTATTGGTCGAGCAGAAGGAGCTAAAACTTTGGAGTTAAAATTTTAGAATGTTATTTGCATTATCTTGAAATATTATTTTGATTTTTAGCTTGTGCATGTGTAGGTGAACGTATAGATATAT